AAGGGAGACATCCCTGATGCTTCCAAGAGAAGTCAAATGATCAGGAAGATCCTTGCCCTATCCTGCAGATGGCACTAATAGAGCTAAAAGGCCGCTCACAAGCTTCCAAGAGTGACTCTCTGAGTGGACTCAGCTGACTATTAACAATAGACAGGAACAAGGTCAATTTGACCAGCTTGGTCTTGAACACCTAGAAAAAATTATAACCAAGGTACAGCCATGTGTGGGAATTTAAAACATAAAACAACAGCTATTTTACTAGAACTTAAGATGTATACTTGTGGCAGCCCCCACAGCCTTGGTGCCTCCCAAATTCTGAGGCATTTTTTTCCTTTGTGAGGCTCATATTTACCCCTGCCTATGAAAAATTGGACTGACCTTTGTACCTTTGTCTTCCTTACTCCTCAAATTGACATTTAAACTAACAACCAATAGTTTGCCTACCCTGATAATGGCACACACCAGACACAAGAAAACCCTTCAGTTTATTCCCTTACTCATAGGGCTATAGAAAATCTGCCAAAATTGACACAGGAGCACCGGGATTAGAAACCTTTATTCACTACTACAAAAATTGTAAGTACAGGTTATTTAAGATATCCAACAGGTTGTTGAATTGGTACTAAATTTACAAAATCAATTATATTCCCTGCATCTATCATCCTGTAGAATCATCAGGGCCTAGATTTCTCTACTACCAAATGAGATTGTCTCTGCTTCTTCCTCTGGAAAAATGTTGCTTCTGTGTCAATCATTCAGGATTGATAAGGGATAAGGTTAGATAACTACAGAGCAGATTGGAACAATGGAGGCAAGAACTACCTGATTCCTAAAACGGTGGACTTCCTGGCTTCTTGCCGCAGTCTGGCTGGGCACAAATGCCGCAGTCTGGCTGGGCACACAATCATGAGCCACCACACAGCTTGTAGATTCAAACAGCAACTCTTTATTCCCGAACTCACACCAGCCGTCTACAATCACGTTCTGGGGAAATCCACGTTCTCTGCCCAAATTCTCGTTCTCTGCCCAAATCCACCTCCACTGGGCTTCTATCTCCAAAATATACTGTCTGAATCCCGTGAGAACTCAAGGGGAACTCAGGCAGCAGGATACGCCCTATTCCCAGCAGGAATAATCTTAAACCTTAAACCTGGAACCTAAACTGGGAACGCCCTAAACACGATTATCTTAAAACCGGGAACACCCTAATCTGCCTTGGTCCTTGAGCAAGGTCACCTACATTCAATGTCACTGCAACATGTCAGCAACATGGGGTACGCTGGCAAGGAAATTGTCATACCTACTTGGCTAATGGCTCCCAGCATCTCCCCCCTTCTGATTAATTAAACAACAAGCAATGTGGCTTAAGGACCGTGCCTGGTAGGTTGTCCAATTCAACATATGGTTCTTACCCGTCATGGGAAAAACTGACCTTTAGGCGTCAGCCTCCTGTCTTAGGTTGATACCACTGCAATTGAATCATACCCGTCACTGACTACCGGTCCAGCATACAGCCATACTTGTGGATAGGTCTATGCACCAGTGGGGGGGTGAGGTTCTTTGCCTCACCTCTGTTGGCCCCCAAATTTGGCCTTGGTGCCAGTGGGGGAGTGAGGTTAATGTGGCTTATGGACCGTGCCTGGTAGGTTGTCCAATTCAACATATGGTTCTTACCCGTCATCGGAAAACTGACCTTTAGGCGTCAGCCTCCTGTCTTAGGTTGATACCACTGCAATTGGATCATACCCGTCACTGACTACCGGTCCAGCATAAGCCATTGGCCCCCAAATTTTAGACCATCACTAGCAGAAGGGAGGAGGATACAGAAATGCCACGACACCAAGCCAATTGACGGTTCCTTGGGAAAAATTGCATCACTGGTGACACCATCAGCAAAGATATGCCAGCACTACCACAACTAACATGGGGTGCTCTGGCAAGGAAATAAAAATTGCATCACTGGTTAATCACTGTCGCAGACGTAAGAATGGCCAAGCTGGAGTTCTGGATATCAGCTGTTATGGATTTGAGTCAAATCATCTTCTTTTCGATCTGTAGAAATTGTTTTAGTTAATCTCTCTGGAATCCAAATCGGCTGCTGTTCTCCCTGTGGAAACACACAAACAAAACCCCGACTCCAGACAATCACTGGGTCAGGACCTTTCCATTGTCCTGTTAGAATATCTTTCCAAAGTACCTTAGGCTTATGTATATTTTTTGGATACACATGTCTTTCCGCAGCACTAAGTCCTGATGAATCCAAATTTAAAAAGTTTAGTGTAAAAAGAGTTATATTAAGTTTATCTTTGGGGGATATATACCCCCTTCCAATTCCCTTTTTGTTTTAATAAGTATATGTCTGTATCTAATAGTTGTCTTAGCTTTTTGCATTTTCTATCTGTAATACCTTACTTGATATTTTCAACCATTTTTTCTTATTTCTATCTTCTAGGTTTTTTTCTAAGGTTTATATATTTACCCTTAGTTGCTTATTTTTCTCCTAGTTTTTTTTTCTTCCTATTTTGTGGGTTTAAAATTTTTGTCTTCCTACATTTTTTTATCTTTCTACATCTTCTTTATCTTTTTTCTTTTTAACTTTCTATACTTCTGTCTTTAAAGTTTTTCACTTTAAATTTTTAATCTTTATCTAAATATCTTTTATCCTATTATCTTCCCATTTTTTTAAAAGTAATGTCTTTACGATTAACTAGGCTTCGAATCACGCAATCTTTTCTCCGTCATGAAGGCATTTTAACCACCTTCAATTTAACCTTTTAAAGCCTTCCAATTATCATCTATACTGTACTTTTAAATGTACTTTTTCACCACCTACAGCTTCACTCTTTTAAACGAGGCTTAGATTCTGTTTAAATCGCTTCAATGTTAGTTTACATGGCTGCCCTTCAACCAAAGGCCTTTTTTTTTAACTCCATTGAGAAGCTTTGTCTCAATCTGCCATGTACAAATATCTTTTTCTTCTTTCTTCCTTTCTCAAGCTTTTAAAGTCTAGTTTCCTCAAAATCTTTTTAAATGGCATTTACAACTTTTTACTTTACCACACAGAGATTATCTCATCTAGAAACATTTCTTTTTCCTTTAACCTTTTATATTAAAATATATTTCCACATCTTGAATCTTTTTCTATCTCTTTTTTAACCGTTAACCCTTTTTATAAATTCACATTTTGAAACAACTCTTATAAAATTTCTGATTTAGACAAATTACTCCACTTTAATAAGATGAAAGACTTTCATGTTTTTTATGATACTATAATACTATAATTGAAACCCAACTGAAAATTTTTACTCTTTGTATATAAATTACACATGATAGAATCTTAACACTTAGTAACCTTGTTTCAGCAAAGACACAGACCAAAGCAATATTAAACATTTTTCCATTTACCAATTTAGGAAAACACACATAATGTTTAAATATATAACCTTATGGAACTTAATAAGTAAAGAGTACTTGATTTCATATTTAGTGGTTGATATTTTAACACTTTAGCTTTGAAAATTAATCAGATGTCTGTAAAAACCAATATCTTAGACAAATGTAGTAAACAGAACTAACCATCTTTTTCTTGAAGAAAAATCCTTCTACAGGATACCATGATGGTCCCATTGATATACTTAATAACTCGTCTTTAAAAAGCCATTTGCTACATTTTTGTATTTTATCAACATATGCCCTAATTGTTCTTGGTCTCACTGGGGTGCCTCCTTCCTCTAACAATTTCTTTTGCTCGGAGGCAAATAACTTCAAACCTTGAGTCAACCATTTTCCCCAGTTTGCCTGAGAAAGTTCTAGGAACAGGCAACTTGAAATAAAAACAAAATAAATCAAAACGAGAACACATTGTTTTTTGAATTGGTCACCCATTCTTTCTCTCTTCCTCAAGGGTGAGAAATTTCACTTACCTCTAAGCTTCAGAAGCTCCCCGTACGGGCCACCAAATGCCGCAGTCTGGCTGGGCACAAATGCCGCAGTCTGGCTGGGCACACAATCATGAGCCACCACACAGCTTGTAGATTCAAACAGCAACTCTTTATTCCTGAACTCACACCAGCCGTCTACAATCACGTTCTGGGGAAATCCACGTTCTCTGCCCAAATTCTCGTTCTCTGCCCAAATCCACCTCCACTGGGCTTCTATCTCCAAAATATACTGTCTGAATCCCGTGAGAACTCAAGGGGAACTCAGGCAGCAGGATACGCCCTATTCCCAGCAGGAATAATCTTAAACCTTAAACCTGGAACCTAAACTGGGAACGCCCTAAACACGATTATCTTAAAACCGGGAACACCCTAATCTGCCTTGGTCCTTGAGCAAGGTCACCTACATTCAATGTCACTGCAACATGTCAGCAACATGGGGTACGCTGGCAAGGAAATTGTCATACCTACTTGGCTAATGGCTCCCAGCAGCTTCTCCCTCTTTTAACTACTGCAATACTCACTGTTCTTGTAATAAACTTTTCCCCTGCTTTTAAAACTTTATACAGAAGCAACTTCTGGACAAAGTGACTTGTCTAACCGAGACCACCTCCCACGAACATGCAAAAGTCATTCTCTTTCACTCACTGACACTCCTGAGCCCCATGAGGAAGGAATCACCCACAAATATGTGTAAGTTCCCTCCTTCTACTCACCCCACCTCAATCCACAATCACCAGGACAATGTAGGAGCCTAAAATACCCCCCACCTCCTTATCCTCTTCCAGATATCTGACATGGGATCCCCTACTGTGCCCTTTCCAGCAAGAAGTAACCAGATATGAGGACATTGCACCCCAACTCATTATCCCCTTTCAGAGTCTGGGAATGAAGGATAAGTTTGCCTACCTGTCCTCCCGCCCCAACCTAAACCCCTGTCATGACATGGCCCCTCCCACCAAAAGGGCCTGCCAAAACTAACTCCTCTCATGACATGGTTTGTCTAAATCCTATAAAACCCAGTCCCTCCTGATGATGGGTCACCATTTTTACCCTGAAGATGTGCCCCTCTGGTGCTGAATAAAACATCAGTCTTGCCAGTTTCCTTTTTCTTTTTGTATTGACTTTCATGTGCTTTCAGACAAAGGGTAAAATTATAGGGTTCACCAGGTGTATGCTACACAGCAAGATCTCCAGGCATGAGGCAACCATCAGCAAGGAGAAGAGCGTCACATTCCAGGGCACCACATTGGGTGGCTTTTCACACAAGTTCCAGTACTCATGGTTGCTCAAGTAAGCCCCTCTGTGGACATGAAGGGTCAAGTGAGAAGAGTTAATGCGGTGCCCTACTCCACCCTCAGTCCCCTGCACAGGCAGAATGGGATTTTCAAAGAGTTAGTTAGACCCATGTTGAGGAACGTGGCACCCAGTTTCCCCGCCCTACATGGGAAGGGCATGAGAACACCAAGATGCAGAGAATGGGGGTCATGAATCCAGGCTAAGCCTTACGAGCTTTCTTGTAAGTGGTAGGCCCACTTGGCATTCTTTGAGCACTTGGGTCCCATTCGGAGTCCAGCTGCTGAGACGAAGAGGCAGTAGATGGCACCAAGCATTCCCAAGGCCGAGAAGGAGAAGGAACGCAGAATCTGGACCGGGTGTGCAAGGTGGGCTGAATAGTGCTGCCCCCTCCCCACTCATGGCCCCACCGCGCCTAGTTCTGTCCCCCCACCTGACCAAGCTCCTCTGGAGCCAGGTTAAATAGAGATTCGGGGGCCTGGGGAAGCCGTCCTGAAACAGTGCGCTGTGGGGAGCCATTCTCACACGTGACTGGGCAACTCCCGGTTTGGGTCTGAGGTGCTCTGGCTAAACTCTGTCAGAGCTTTCCCGACCTTCTCCTGGTGCGAGAGCCTGTCCTTGTGGGGGTGTGACTGACTACTGACCCCGGGGGCCAATCACTGACCCTGACCTTGGAGTGCTGCCCCCCTCAACCGTCATTGGATGGAATTCTCCCCTGAATTTCTTGTTCCCCAATAAAAGGCCACTCCCTGGCATGCTCCCTCTCTCTCTCTCCTGCTAGCCCTGAGTAATCCTTGCTGCCGTACCAGGTGGTTCGAGGTGGGAGCCAGAGGGGGAGCCGTCTGGGACCTGGTCGTAGAAAAAGGTAACTGAGTCTGTGTGTTTATTTCAATCTCACTAGCTAACTTTTATGCCAAGAACCTCTTTAATGAAACCAGTGCGCTGGTCGTATGGTGGAATTGCACTTGAAAATACATTTTCCTATATCTCCGGGAGTTGGAGTTAAGCAAAACTAAGGGCCAGTAGAGACTCGTGGTGGTTAGGGATTCTGTAGAGTCTGCTGTGGCTCTGGGAGAGACTAGTTTAGAGACCAAATCCTCAATCTCTTGCTTTCTTTTCTGTGGGGTGGAGGCTCACTGGGGATTTAACCCAGGATGGGATCCACAGCCCTTTTGATTTCTTATTAATGAGAGAGGATCCCCTAAATTGCTGAGGCTGTCCTTGAACTTGAGAAGCTCCTGCTTCAACCTCCTGAGTGACTGGGATCACAGGGGTATGTACCATGCCCTGCCGAATCTCTTTTCAATTTGGTTCTCACCCATTTGGGATGTCCACCTGCCGCCAGAACCACAGTGATTCCCGGACACAGAACCTGTGAGACAAGAGTCATTGTAATACTGTGAACCCAGCACCAAACCCATATCCTCAAAGTCTTCACCTCCTCTGGAAGTTGCCTATGATGTCCTCAGCCCTTTAGACTATATGAAGAAGACCTTACCTCTACCTCTCCTGGAGCATGGCTGGGCCCTACCTTACTTTATCATTATTTATGTGCCTACCTTATCTCTGTCCATATTTTAGCTTCCTTGAGGATTCGGTTCAATATTAAACATTCCCCATAAACCTTGGCACATGGTAGGTTCCTTTCTGATTGGGTATCAGGAGGCCTGGTTGAAGGTCAGGACCACACTACTTCACTCAATGAAGTAATTGGTTTCTCTGGGTCTCAGTTTGTCCTAGGTAAAATTGGTTTGTAAAACCTACCTCATACAGTTGTTCTTAGGATTTAATGGAAACTGGTGGGCATGGTATCAAGTCTGCTTCAGAGTAAATGCTCCTTAACTATAAATGCTTTCATCAGTGGGAAGAGGTAGAGGTGTTGGAAGGTCTGGTGATGTAGGATATGCTCGAGTATGCTCACAAATGCTGTGATGTGGGTTATGGGATTTCCTAAGATCCAGCCCCTGAACTTTTTTTCTTCCTGTGACTTTTCCCACAGAAAGATCACTCCTGCCAGGGAATCAGCTATTCCCCTGCCAACTGTTACCTGTACATGCCTAGAGAACCAAATCTAACTGCCCAAAGGATGTGTTCACTCAAATGTCTTGGTTATAGCTCAGATTCAGCCTGTATAAGAGGTGACCTCATAATATTTTCCAAATTCATCTCCCTTTGATTTCCTCATCCTTTTAATTGAAAAATATAATCCACGAGGTCACCTAGGCTGGAAAACTTAAACCCTTTTGCACCTTGCCAAACTCAAGTCTTCTTGACTTTTGCTTCAATGGCTCCTGAATCTATCAGTCCTTTCTCCTTCTTCTCTCATTCAATTCCTAATCACGTTCCATGAGGAAGATGTTCTTAGCCTCCCTACTCAGTCCCCTTAGCTCTTGCTCATGGCACCCCACAGTTCATCATACATGCCCCACCAGATTAACCTTGGTGTTGCCAAAGTGGGATAGGGCACACCTGTGAGCCCAGAGATCCAGGAGATTGGGGCAGGAGGATGCAAGTTCAAGAGCAACCATGGCAACACAAGGAGACCTTATCTCAAAATAAAAAATAAAGGGCTGGGATTGTAGCTCAGTGGGAAAATGTTGCTGGGTTCAATTGTTGGTGGGGGTGGGGGCAGGAAGGAATTTCTTTTTCTTGTTTGTATTGTTTTGGTACTGGGTACCAAAGAACCCAAGAGCACTTAACCACTGAGCCACATTCACAGCGCTTTTTTTTTTTTAGAGAGAGAGAGAGTGAATTTTTTTTAATATTTATTTTTTAGTTATGGGAGGACACAACATCTTTGTATGTGGTGCTGAGGATCGAACCCGGGCCGCACGCATGCCAGGTGAGCGCGCAACCGCTTAAGCCACATCCCTAGCCCCATAGCTCTTTTTTGTATTTGTATTTAGACACAGGGTCTCAATGAGTTGCTTATGGCCTTCTTAAGTTGCTGAGGCTGGGTTTGAACTTGTGATCCTCCTGTCACAGTCTCCTGAGCCACTAGGAATACAGGTATGTGCCACACAGTCTACTGTGAGGAGAGTTTCTTAATCCTTTGAGGCTCCTCACTCTGCCTCCACCCCTGTCTTTGTCTTCATAGCCCAGGCCAGGTTCTTTGTTCATCTCCGATCCCTGGAATTCCACAGCTGTTTTGATCCTTCCCTCCCTGTTGGTCTTGTCTGGCATACACCATACAAGGCAGCATTTTGTTCTTTTCCAGGGAAGGGGCTGCGAGTTTTAGTTCTGTTATATCATCCCCAGCAACCTCAGAGAAGCACCTGATGAGTGGAACCAAATTTCCACCAGCACTTTTGCTTTCCTCCTCCTGTGTCAGGGCAGTTTCAGGGCCAATGCTGACCCCTCTGTTTACCTTCTCTGGTGAGGTCACTTACTGGGAGGATTCAGGATCCACAGATACCTAGAATAGCCTTCTGGATTTACTAGTGTATGTGTGTGTTGTGTTGGTGAAGGTCTAATCCAGGATCTTGCCATGCTAGGAAAGTGCTCTACCACTGAGTTACACACCCACACCACATTTACAAATTTCAAATCACCCACCTCCTTGAGAATTTTACTTTTGGTCAAAGTATTTGTTTCCTTTTGTATAGTCAGCTTCCCTGTCCTCTTTCCTGTCATCTAACTATCTTCCTGAAAAGAGAAGAGTCACCATAAATTCAGAAGGCAACACTGTTTATAGCTCAAATCTCCTCACTTTTTTCCATCACCATGGCCACTGGGCTATTTGAAGGTACTGTCTTCCCTCCATGATATTAATCTCATCTCTGTGCATCTATGGCTGGCAAGGTCTGAGTATCCATTCTCCACACAAGAACCAGAGGGATCTCTTCAATCCACTGAGGTTTGAAACAACTAGAACTCTCACACTGTGCTGATAGGAATGAATTGATTAAAAAAAAAAAAAAACAACTCCAGAATAGAGGGAAACTCTGCTGGGTAGATCTCTCAACTTTGCCCCCCACAAATATTATACTAGGTTAACCATCTAAAACTTCCCCTAAACGGGGAAAGAGAGGAGGAGGAGATACAAGAAATCTGTGTCCCGTCTTGCTCCACTTCTTCCAGCAGATCCTCATCTCCAGGAAGCCTTGGGGGCAACTTCTCTGCCTGACTGACCTGTTTCTGAGTTTGTTCTTAGCACCCAGCACAGAGTGGGCATCCACAATATGGGCTGAGAGTGAGTGGAAGAGGGGGAGGGAGGGGCAACACTGAGCTGAGAGGTAGAGTGACTGATGAGTGACATCACTGCCTGGCTCCAGACCTTTTTGCTATACCTCCCCATGCCTATTATTACTCTTCCCTGATAACCTCCGACACAGCCAGCTGCTCCTTCTGCTTGGACCCTTGTAGTGAGGGGTCCCCAACATCTGCTGAGCTGCGTGGGCAGGGAGGGTCAGGAAGGACAAGCTTTGACCCATAAAGGAAGCTCTTTAGAGATTTGAGCCTCCCCTCTGTGCCTTCCCCTTCCTTTAGACATTCATCTCAGGTCCTTGGGGGCTCTTCCAGGGCTGTCTCCAGAGTGCTGAGTTTATAGGGGCAGCACCTTGTACATTCCTACTCCCCACCAAGCACTTGCCGCCCCTCTGGAGCATGGTCCTTTTCATCTCCCCTTCCTTCCCATTCACAATCCTTTTCAGTGGTGCCCATATCCCGATGACTGGCCTGTACTCTATAGACTCCTCACCATCAATCCCCCGCCGATGAAGCCAGGCATGAGCAGGACTTGCAAGCTGAGTTGGTCACTGCTCCAGGTCTTCCCATCAGGCACCAATAGGAGGGCATTGGCCACGATGCACACTAGGGAGAGAGATATTAGGGAGAGGCCCACCCAGTGGGCACACTTCCTTGGGTTCATGGTGAGACAGTGAATGAAAGTGAGCCTGAAATAAAATGAAAGTGTTCCTGGCCACAGAGGAACACAGGCTGTAATGTGAGTACAGGTCAGAGAAAAGCTGTGGTAGATACTGGCAGGATCAGAATGATAAAGGGAGGCCCTATCACTAGCTGCAGCTGGTGAGGAGAGGGGGTGGATGTGCGATGATGTGGTGGGAGAGCTAGTCACACACTGGTGCCAATGTCTTCTTCGTCTTTCTGCACACACCTCTCCATCATCCCTCTTCAATTCCTTACCTGTTGAAGACTCAACCAAGCCATTGTATGTCTCTAGGTCACAATTGCCTCATCTCTGTAAAGGGTAGAGTGGTACCACTTGCCTCTTGACTGGTTGTAAGGGTTCCTTAGGACAGGGGGATGTTTGTTAAACTAGGCAGCACAAGGAGGTGTACAGTGGGCTTATCATTTCCATTTGTCACACATAGAGAGTTCCTCCCAGAAAGAAATGAAAAAAGATTGACAGCAGGCATCAGCTGTGTTTTTATTTCAAATTCTTTAAAAAAAATTTTTTTTTGTACCGAGCATTGAACGAAGTGGCACTTAACAAATGAGGAACAACCCCAGCCTTTTATTTTGACTTTTGTTTAGAGACAGGGTCTCACTGAGTTGCTTAAGACCTTGCTAAGTTATTGAGGCTGGTTTTTAAGTCATGATCCTCCTGCCTCAGCCTCCCATGCACTGGTATTACAGGCATGTGCCACTGAGCCTGGCTTCATTTCATCTCATTAATATTTGTTTATTTTTTTAAAAAATATTTATTTATTTATTTATTTTTGTTTTCGGCGGACACAACATCTTTGTTTGTATGTGGTGCTAAGGATCGAACCCGGGCCGCACGCATGCCAGGCGAGCGCGCTACCGCTTGAGCCACATCCCCTGCCCACGTTTATTGATCCTCTCTCCTTTTGAGACTACTACATGTTTCTCAGGGTAGAATTGAGACTGAGGCCTTATTTGTTAGAACATAGCATCCTCAGGCCTCAACATTTGACTCAGCCATACTTGTACAATCCAAGCCAGTTCCATGAAGAGTCTATTTTTAAAATTTATTTATTTGTGTTCTTGTTTTTGTTCACCATCTGGAGGTCAAGGAGATTCTGATTTTGTTGAGGTGATGAGGTTGCTTGTGGCCTGTTTCACCTTGAGGAAGGCCCTTCCTGTTAAGAGCAGGAAGTTAATCCAGAGGAAACAACCATTGAGAGAGAGAGTGAGGTGTGACAACATCATTTGAATTGGCAGATTCAGCCATGCCTGGAACCTGATCACTCCTTGGAACATTTTTTTTTTATTAGGGATTGAACCCAAGGTCTCTTAACCACTAAGACACATCTTCAGTCCTTTTTTAATATTTTATTTGGACATAGGGTCTCGCTGAGTTGCTTAGGGCCTCCCTCAATTGCTGAGGCTGACTTTGAACTCACAATCCTCTCGTCTCAACTTCCTGAGATGCTGGGATTACTGGCATGCCCCACCACACTCTGCACTCCTTGGAAACATTTTTTTTTTCACTTTTTAATTTCTTCTTTTTAGTTTTATGTGATGGTAGAGTATATTTTGACATATTGTACATAGAGTATAACTTTGCATTTTTGTATTTGTACATGATGTGGAGTTACATTGGTGGTGTATTCACATATGAAACTTGGAACCTTTTTTTAGAAACATTTTTTAGTTGTTGATGGACATTTATTTTTATTTATTTGTATATGGTGCTGAGAATCAAACCCAGTTCCTCACACATGCTATGCAAGCCCTCTTCCACTGAGCTAGAACTGCAGCCCAATGTGGAACCTTTGGATAATGTGAATTGGTTTGAATTGTGTTTCTGTCAACTACAATATAAAAAGTAGTTTTTTCATACGGAGATTAATTTATTAAAACCTGGCTTCAGGACCTGTGGTAGAGATACCAGGATTCACAGTGAGGGCTGAGACCCAGCTTATTGTCAGGCAGAAAGAGGAGTGTGCAGGCCCGGCAGAATTAGCCCACATCCATGTGTGATGTGGTAGTGCCCATGGAAGAGATGAGATAGCACTAAGTACCAAAGGACCCCACAGTGCTTGCAATAAAAAGTGGTACCACACAGAAAGTGGGAGCCAGTTGGGGACTACTGATATAGCTTCTCCCAAAGGCCCACTTGAAACAACAGAGAGAATATGGATGGTGGAGAAATCTTACCACTAAAATGGAATGCCAGAATTTGAGCGGAATTCTTGCTGTTTATAAGATAGAGAAGCTGGATGGAGAAAAAGCTATGACGAATTGACCTCTAGAATGATAGGACACATGAACAAAGAAAATACTTTGAACTGCCCGACAGGTTACCTCTGACTCACAGGCAATCAGTGTGGTAACTGATGTTGGGTTTTGCTTCTGTTGACTTGTTTAATGCTTTTAAGATGTTTTAAAATGCTGCTTCTGATATCTACTGTCCTTTTTCTTCAAAAATTTTGCATTCCCCTATTAGAAGGCCTATTTTATTTTAATTTTTTAAGGATGTTTAAAAATTTTTTTTAGTTATAGAGGGACACAGTATCTTTATTTTATTTATTTAGTTTTTCATGGTGCTGAGGATTGAACCCAGTGCCTCCCATGTGCAAGGCAAGCACTTTGCAACTGAGCCACAACCCCAACCCCTAGAAGGCCTATTTTAAATCTAAATAGCAGTTATTTTTGTTTATTATTATCGTGTGTGTGTGTGTGTGTGTGTGTGTGTGTTGTGCTGGGGATTGAACCAGGGTGAGATAAGTGCTTTACTAGTGAGGTATATCCCCAGCCCTAGTGGTTACTTTGAAATATTGCAAACAGAGTCTTTTAACTTGTGTCTCCCTGAGAAACCTCAGACTCTCATTCCATAGCCTCCTTTGAGGGGTTTCATCATGCCTGGAGCCGTATGACCGTATGATCTGTAGTAAAAATGGAATTGCTCATTGCAAGTGCTCAATCCTCCCTGTAAACATGTCCTTTACTAAGCAATTTAGTTGTCCCTCCACCACCTCCCCACTCAGTAAGAGGTAGAATACACCTCCAAACCATATTGGCAGAAAATAAAATGGGCATAATTAACAAGATACTGGTTCTGAGTCTAGGCCTTAGGAGATGTTGTGTGTTGTCTCTTGCCACTATCATGGCCATGAGAAGAACATGCCTGAGTTAACCCACTGATAAAAAAAGGTGCAAGATGCAAGGAAAAGGTCCAGGTTGGATCTCAACCTATATCAGCCCATCTCCAACCAATCCATGCACAGGTAAGTGAAATAAATGCTTATGTTGGTATGCTACTAAGACTGTGTGGGAGTTTTCCTTACACAGAAATAGCTGCCCAGCACAAACTCTATTATGCAGGACACAGCAGACTGAGTGATAAATGTAGCTGATCCAAGGCAGGCAAGCATGTAGCCAGAGACTTAGGAGATGGTTGAAGGTGAGAGCCCTGCTGAACAGAGATACCCTGTCTGCATGATCACTCAGCAACTACCTGGATCTTCATTCATGGGAAATATGTCTGTGAGACAACCTGAGAGAGACATTAGAGAAGAGGGAGTCCCCAGACTGGGAAATGTATGAAGAAGGCAGTAGAAAAAAGCCACGAGGCAGTAGAAACCACCAATGATCAGAAGGGTGCCGCAAGAGTATTGCATAGATAAGTGCCATTCAGGAAGAGTGCAGGAGGAAGGAGCATGAGGACTGGGATGCAGAGATGGAGAATGTGGGTTCTGGAGTGAATGGGTGGGAGGTGAAAATGATGAGAGGTAGAGCAGGATCACTAGAAATAATGTTGAGCTATAGAGCAACTGTCCTATCCCGAATAGTGGGCCTTCCCAATGTAGACCTGAAGATAGGATTCAGCCTTTGGTCTTCATGGACTAAAAGCAGGCCATGAGTAGGCCACATATTTGTCTTCAAGTTGATTTCTACTGAGTCTGAGAGATGGTTCTTCTTCTTCTTCAGATTGAACCTAGGGCTGTTTAACTACTGAGCCATATCCTCATTCCATTTTTTATTTTGAGATAGGGTCTTGCTATGTTGCTTAGTTCTTGCTAAGTTGTTGAAGTTGGTCTCAAACTTGCAACCCTCCTGCCTCAGTCTCCCTCCCAAATTGTTAGAATTATGGGCTTACACCACTGCACCTGGCAACATGGTACTTCTTTGAGAACAACAATCCTTAAATATAAGCTCTTTTGCATACTTTGCAAGCCTCCTCCCACTGAGCCATACCCCCAGCCCAAGAAGTTACTTCTTTTGAGGACAAGAGAGAAAAAACTGTGTGTGTGTGTGTGTGTTCCACAAGTACTCATTAAATTATTTTTATGTAACTCTGTATGGATAAAATAATGTAATACTTCAAAACATTGTAGGAGTTATGAAATTTTTCTTCCAAACAAGGGGAGAGCATGTCACCCCAAAGACTGAGACAGATCTCTGAAGAAATATTTACTGTGGGATTTGGAAGAATTTTTCAGGAAGGTTTTCAGTGACATCACTAGGATTCTGCAAGTAAGAGCCAGAAAGAATGGCTGAGATGAAAAGGTGCTAGTAAACTAGGTGTGGTGGTGCATACTGGGTCCCACCTACTTGGGGGGCTGGGAGAGTAGGATCCCAATTGGAGTCCCTCCTGGGTAATTTAGCAATACTTGTCCCAAAATTCAACAAAAAGGGATGTGGGTGTGTGTAGCTCAATGGTGTGGTAGAGCACTGGCAGAACATGTGTGAGGCCCTGGGTTCAATAATCTCCAGTGTCGAACATGAGTCAATAATGAAATTACCAAATAAAATGTGGTAAGCATCAATTGAAATAATCCTTTACTTCTTTTAAAATTGCCTATTCCACCCCTGGAGATCACATCTGCCTTGTTAACCACTGTATTTCCTGTGCAAGTTAGTAGCTCAGTACCTGTGACAAAAATAAGTGGGGAGTGAGGGCTCCAAACAGGGTCACAGAACACCAAGCTCAGGAGGCCCTCACACACTGCTGCTGTTTAGGGCATACTCTGAACAGGGAGGGTTGGGGTGGACTTCAAGCAGTTTATTCCAAGGAGGCAGGGGGTGGGCGAGCCAGGCTGGGGTCCTGGAGCAAGCAGGAATGACCTGCCCATCAGTGGAGGGAGGCTCAGTGAGCTGAGCCCTGTGGAAATGAGAAAGGGAGTGAGGACTTTGCCAGAAGCAAGCAGGTCCCTCAACAAGTCCACCTTATGCCGTCCCACCTCCTTTTTCCTCCAGTTGGCACAAATGAAACTAATAATGTAACCCAAAGATTGGTCTTTGTCTCCTATGCCAAT